TGAATAATATTCCTCATCTCGACACAACGTCGCCATCTCGAATACTATGAATTTTAAACGCCCGATGAAAGTCAAGTTATGGTCATGCTATAATTCTGTAAGTAAAATATCGGGTATTGTGACGCACAGTGTAACATGTTAATATTAATGTAGAATATAAAGCAGAATGCGTATGTTACATAAAACACAGTCCTAATCGTTACATGACATGTCAATCATTATCCCTGCTTGTAAATAGGTACATGGTAATGTTATGTAGGTGCCTGAAAATCATTTTTAGTTGGCAATTTTTGATTAATTATTGATTTTCCTGACATCTAATATTACAGTATTGGACAATTCAGGAAAACTAGGCTTCTCACCTCAAAGAAAGAAGAAAAGCCTAAGGAGGACTTTACATCTTATGTTTTGACTCCTCCATTGAAGTCTAATATAAAATTAGAGGTCTTGTGATGATTTATCATTACATTAAATTGTCAGTCAACTATTCTGAAAAAAAGTTCCACGTGTGAGAAGTGGCGGGCACAGCTAGTATGCCAATAAAATTATGCGGGGACCCGTACAAACATACTGTAAATCCCCTCTATTGTTAAATATTAACTTAAATTAATAACCAATGAGTAGGTTAACTGACATGAGTGATGAATTGCGTCCTCGCACCCCTATGATTTTATCAGCGCTATACAATGTTAACTAACACAGATCCGATATCAGAATCCGTCATCACCAGCAGCTCTAAGCATTTACCAGAGCTATAATAGGCTCTAACATCTCACATTATTATACCTTGATTAAATACATAAGAAAATTATTAAATTTTAAGTTTCGCATTTATCATAACTAATTTATCATTCGACAACTTTTATGTAAGCTCCCCAATAAATATAAGTGTCAGTTACGAGACATTTTAACATAATTACGTAACTCGCGAGAATAAGCAGGAAAACAGAATTAATTTATGTCATTAGTAAGCGCATTAAATTTTCCAATAGGAACATTACAAAGTGGAACATATCAATAGCCGGGCCACTTTCACTGGATCGTCTTTCGGCCATGTTTATGATGGTCCAAAAACCGGTATAACTATTTCCAAATTGTCCCAGATAAAGGTGCCTGCTCCGATTGTCGGGAAGTTCACAATTTCGTAAAGCATGTGTATAGATACGGGCGTGGGAGAATTCTGTTTCGATTTTTCAAGCTTGAACTTCCAATAGATACCTGCTAATACATTCGTATGAATCTTTGATTAGGTACGCTGGGACTTTTCCATAGTCAACATCAGACGTCTCTACATTTACGGCAAAAATTTTCCGACTCGTCTGAACCAAGTTCGGTTTATTAGAGTACGTTCACTTAGGGAAAACTTTTTTGGACTTGAATTTATGTTGGACTGAATAACCAATATTTTGGGATCATTTACCAAGTCAAATATCACCCTAAGCCCTAACGATAGGCGTCTTTCCTTAACTTCGCTAACGGTACAAAATGATAATGTTTGATGTTTTATTTATTGATGACCTGAAAAGCGTTGAAAACTTGCGCATATTTATTTATTCCACAAGCGACAGCAAGAGTTGCCGATTGTATTTTCATAAATCTTTTTCAATGCAGTATAAACATTGCAGGGACTATTGAGATGTATTGTTACAAAGTTAAAAACATGACGATAAACAGATACCGAGTGGACAGTTCATATCGAAAAAAATAAGTTAAATCATGTACGAATGACGGCACATCACGCCAAACACTGCATTTTATGTAGCTCTGACAGGAACGATTTTATCTCATGTGCCGACTACTGACTTAGGCAAATAGGCAATGATAAATGATAAAGATAGACTAAGAAGACAAGTTACTTTCCTCTAAAACAACAGACTACTCTTTCTCGAAATTGATAACGCTGTATCTATAGGTCCTAATAGATTTCAGACGGTACCCCAAACGACAAACACTGTGATTGAGACAGATTGACATTATACAAATTGCAAATGACAAATTGATTTCTGTCCTTTCTGAAAAACTGCGTTCGACAGACCAATCGCGCATATTGATGTTGATTGGTAGAAGTGTTTTTAAGACCACTTACGAGGGGCATGATGAAGTAAGCACGAAGTTATGAACGTGTCTTTTGGACTACTGGGCAAATAAAGATTTTCGTATGTATTTGGATGACTGGTAGTGATTAGTTGTGACATTTTTTAACACTTGAGGCGTAAGGATACATCTACAAAACTGAAAAGGGAGAGAAACTTGACATTAACTCGGTGTTTAAGGCATCGAAGTAAAAGATTAAAGACACTTTCATAAGTATCCTAGAAGATGTAAGACTCTATTCCCCAATGGAACACAAAACATGGTTGGTAATTTACTTTTTATTGTAAACCTGGTTCAATCTCATTATCTAATAATTAATTACACGAGCCTATGCATCGGAGAGCAGGATAATCCGCAGTGCGGAATCCGCACTTTGATCCGGTCAATCCATGTACGCCTATGGCAACTTGTTACGTATAGGGTTGTTCTGAGGATCGATGAATCCCGATTCCCGACACATAAACCGAAAGCACAGAATAAGTAATAGTACCAAGGTACCAAAAGTCTTGATCACTACAACACATTGAATCTCACCGAAAATTGATCCTGTCTTAATCTCTTCTTCGTTCCTAGTTTCCTCCAATCTATCCCTGGCCATTAAAGACCGTAGATTTTTGGTCGGCTTAATAGCAGACTGATTGTATTTCAAGAACGTACTCTACCACCACCTTCATGCAAATGCATCTCTAACCAAACACATCTGCACCTGCATAAACTTGGTGTGAATAAAAATGCGAATGTCACACTGTTCACGCTTTCTGCTTGTAAGAAAGTGAAAAAGTGGGCGAGTCGAATGAGGTAATATTAGTGCGATAAACTAGCACCGCTCACCCGGCCGCGCTCACTTTCGTTCGGTAACCGGTATCAACCAGTCCTAGGGTTTGCATCTATCAGAGGCTTAGGTTCTCATCTGAAAATCAATCTACGACCATCTGACATTTAGTTTGTCGATTGAATTTACATACGCTGTTCTTTAATAGACGTTTCATAGGTCGTCAGACTGAGATGACGCCAGTCAACTTGTTATACGTCACGCTTTCAATCAGAATTCAAATCTCATCATCATCATCATCTTCATTTCAGCCATAGGACGTCCACTGCTGAACATAGGTCTCGCCCAATGATCTGGATAATGACCGGTTGGTAGCGGCCTGCATCCAGCGTCTTCCTGCTACCTTTATGAGGTCGTCGGTGGGTGGACGTCCTACGTTGCGCTTTCCTCCCAGTCCTACATTGCCCTGACCTCCACTCCAGAACCTTGCTGCCCCATCGGCCGTCAGTTCTGCGTAATATATTCCCTGCCCATTGCCACTTCAGCTTGCTAAATTGCTAATCCGTCGGGCCATGTCAGCGACTTTAGTTCGTTTAAAATTCAAATCTAAATATTACGAATAGCGAGGTTAACGATGCTTTTACACCCTAACTACGCAACGACCGTAGTGTGGTTTAGACTTACGCTCCCTGTAACGGTCTACGATACTGGGGCTATCATCCCGCTGGTAGAACTTACTGAAAACTTTTCGTATTATTTTTCTTTGTTAAAGATTTTTACTGCAGGGTTATTGACACTGAACTTTTAACTTCTTTTTCTTATCATAATATGGCTGCTAAAAGCGATTTGCATTAACGAGATTAAAAATATAATAGAATTTTAAATAAAATTAACAATGCATTTTAGTTGGAGCCATGTTACATAAAATGAAAGCTATGATTAGTCCAATGCCTGCCTGCCAATCTGAATGCTGCCTCAACACTTACATGTTTGACTCACTTGAATTTACGTCTGAATCCTTTATGGCGCCATAAATCATCCAGGGCGAATTTTTAAAGATTTTTTTTTCAGATTTACAAAAAAGGATTAATACTTTGGGGGTTGAAAAACTACTAAAGATTTTTTTTTAATAAGTCAAAGAGTATAGTTAAATAATCGCACTATGCTCCGGACGATAAATTGGCGGATTTAGCAATAAAAATCTCGCAAATTAAAATTTCATTGCAATTTCAGGCAATTTTTTCCTTTGATTAAAATGAATATTTGTTTAGAGTGGAATCTTGCACTTTAAAGATGAAAATAAAATAGATAAGATCAAAATAATAAAACAAATAAAAAATAGGATAGGTAGCCGTTCATTCTTATGTACCTACATACAAAAAGTATAGAATTGCTTTTGAGAAGACTTGAAAGTTTCAAATCAACTTAATATGTTTCATCACAATGTTTATAGGAATTTTATAGTTTAATAAAGATGAAAGGGTTTTAATGAAATAAAGGATTATGAACCTCAAACAAAAAAGTCTGCATGGCCGGATGTCAATGTGGCTAACATCATAACAGATGATAAATTTCTCAATGCTTTTTTAAAAAAATGTGTACTTGGGGCTATTTAATATTTTTATTTATTACCATTATAATGTTAAATTACACATCTTATTTGAAGAGACCTAAAAATAGTTTTATTACTAAAATAATATCCCTACAGAGTTAATTTTTTCTAAATAAAAATAGTTCTGTGTGAGTGTGTTAATACCTAGCTATGTTCATTTTTTACATTATGAAATTAAAGGTAACTTAATTTAAGAACTTATGACAATATTACTATTTACTGATAAATCTCTAATAAAAATCAATACAATAGTAAAAACTTTCGTTAGGTTTCCAATACCTTTTCATTGTTTGTCATTTTATTTTAATTATTAAATGCAGCATGGTGTAACAAACAACTAGGTTTAATGAATACTGAAAGAATGTAAGACGTAAATATCTGCTGTCATTCTGCAGCAACAAGAAATTTTTCTTTGTTAGAGTTGTGAATTTGTTTTGAGTAGCATTAAGCAAAACTATAATCCATGATTTATGGGATGTGTTTAGAAACATTTATAAGTATTAAGAACCAATAAAATCTTACCTGGATATTCGGGAACTCCAGAGAATACACTTTAATGATGATATTATTATTTACTTTTACTTTTTGCTATCGAACTGTGATAACTTAACTGCGCGATCTCCGCGCAGAAGTAAAATAACAACCGACTAATATCGTCGAAATGGCAATAAGAGCACCGCCAATAAGCAAATTGTTATTCACAATATCGATTAAATATGCAATTTGCTCTAAATTACTAGCCAATACATTACTCAGCACCGAATTATGAATCAATTCATTACCGCAACAAGAAGTCATCACAATAAAAAATATTCATAAATATAACTTAATTAACACTCTAAATTAACTAAATAATGAATTATTAAAATATTTCACCTAAAAATTGACCTACAAAATTCGGCATGTAAACACCTGACAATGACATAACATTATTTTAATTAGTTGTCAAACTTGCGAGCCGAAGATAACTATGATTATACAGCACAGCATGTAACAAGTTTTAAGGCATTATGGTTAACATCAGAGAGCAGAAATGTTAACATTCACTTCGTTGTATAGATGTATTATTATAACATTATTTTAATGTAACCCTTATTTTAACAGAAGACAGATAAAAAGCCTTGTTATGCCATTCAAATTGCTCCAAATTATTTGAGGGCCTACATGTCCGAATCTCTTACACAGTGGCGCTATCTGGATACCGATGAAGTGGTAAGACAACTGCGCATTTAAACTCACTAGGGTGGCGCCACTGTAGAGTAAGGTCGTTACACTCACCAGTGAAGGCGCTGCTCTTATTCTTATTAGGTCCCAGTAGAGCACTACAAAAGGGTAGTTTGACGATAGCATATAAAACAATCTCATTCATCTCATTATTATAGCCCAAATGCGGGGACTCCCCGAAACAATGAAAAAGTTTGTCAGAATAGTAGTGCGAGAATGTCTGATAAAGCACTTTACAATAGGGTCTTAGATTTATTATTCTTGGTCTTATAATTGGGTAGTTGACGACAGCATTTAAGACATCTCATTGTTATAGTCGATAACTTAGCCGACATGCAGGGACTCCCCGAAACAATGAAAAAGTCAGTCAACATAATAGAGTGCGCGAATGTCTGTTAACGACAATCTACCAATGGAAATTAAGGTTTTTTAGTCTACGTAGGCACATTCATCAACCAGTGACATGAACGCCCTCGCTGTGAGGGCACCGTCACATTACACCGTTACATATCCTTATTATTATTCTGTGGTTATACAAAATCTAAGGTGTATTGTTATTTATCATTACCAATACCATTCTAGTACTTTACTTTCAGGAAAAAATAAAAGAACTCCATATATTCTTGTCAGAAAACATTTATTTAGCATAATATATCAAGCTACACTTCATACATTATTTATTTCAGCGAGTACTACCTACCAACTACCTAAGTAGGTAAGTATAGACACTGAAATTAAATCATAACTAGGTACATTACAAATACAATTTATAAATGCGTTGCCTTATTTGAACCGAAATCTTAATCAATAAGATGGTGTCCATACACTTTGTTTTTGTAACCTTAATAAAAAAAATATCTTGAAAAATCAAATTGAAATTACAAACTATGTAATTTGGTCAATTATATTAATATTTCACTGGGTCCAAACCCACTCAAATGGTCTTAGTTAGACCTTAAAGCTTGACACTGCAAGATGTCCATAAATACTATCCATTTATGTGATCATTTACTATTTTCACTTACTTACACACTAAACACCCTTCAACCATAATAAAATCAGGTAAATTAGATTGATCTATAAGAAATAGAAGTCATACAGTCAATACAAAGGCAATGCTTTGTGAAAAGGTTGATAATTTGGTGTTATAATCTTAGCTGTGGAACAATCTTTATAGGGGAACTGTGCATGGGTTTCTTAGGACTAAGTTTGCTGGGTGATCTCATAACCACATCAACAGCCTTTCTGAGAATCTGGTGCTCACTCTTTTTGTACTCTTCTGTGATTTGGGAGAGGTCAAGATCTGCATCCAACATCAGCACCTAAAAAATAAGAGGCTCATTATTATAATGGCATGTGTGGGTTTAAGGTACATTAACACTGCAGTACACGCGCCCCTTTTTTTACACGAATACACGCGCGGCCTACTCTGGTAAGCCAATTTAAAATCACTGTAAATCAGTTTGTAATCAATTTATGAATATAATTATTATGTAAATGATAAAAGTGTTTATTATAGTTATTTTATAAACAAAGTTTCTTTATTATAACTATTTGGGATCAAACATTATAAACATTTAAAAGTTGTAAATTTTTTGGACCAAAAGTGCACTCTGAGACCAATGTTAACAAAAAAAAATTGACTGAAAAAATATGATTAGTTTTTTATCTGTCATAGTATTAACGACTTTCTACTGCCTGGTACACGGTGTAAATTCATTTGTTGTAAGTCTTTCATATTTTTTTTGTCGAGGGATTTCGGGATTTTGAGTAGACCCGTAGTTTTGACGTCAATTTTAGAAAAGTGCGCAGTCTCTAGCGACCCAAGCTTTACTGGCTTACTGACAAATTTAGTAAACGAGGCTTTCCTGGAATGCCAGCTCTCTGGCGCAAGTTTTCAAAAAGTTATAGCGTAAAATGTTACCCTGGTCTACTATAGTAGTCCGCGCGTGTACTCTAGTGTTAAGTTAACTTTTATTAATTAATATGAAACTCTGTTAACATTTACATTTCAACAAAACTTTTTCCAAATTGAATGAAAATTGAATATTATAGTAGTAATTTTTGCTTATTGCAAACTGTATCTACATTACTCATAACAACATTCCACAAGATAAGTTCTTTTATCTGGGTTAAATAGTTTGTGCTAAATAGGTCTGTCCAGATTATAACTGTGATGTGAAACATTTACGTACGTCATACTTGTAATAATAAACAATGAATGGTTTAGTTAATACTTACAGGAGCTGGACATTCCCCAAGAGTCCTGTTTATCAGCCAGTCTTCGTGCAATCTGTGCAAGTCTTCAATGTAGGACAACGGAACACACTGCTCTTCGGAACGAGCTCGCTTCTTTATTCTCTCATGCACAATAGATGGTGTGGTTTTTAGGTATACTGAAATGCATAAAATTGGTGTTAAAAAATAAAATTGAAACTACAGGACACTTATTTACAGTATTAAAATACTTGAATCAGATAGTTATTTGTGGAAAATCAATATCAAACATACTCAAGCTCTGTATGTAGTGTTTGTGATAAAGGATTGCACCTTAACAGATAAAGAACAAGTTTGTGCATCACATGCCCTTTTCCATCTTTTTGTCACCAATTTAGAATTATTGCATTTATTTATTATATTAATTACATGTCAAAACAGGTTCCTTTGTTATCAATAATACTCATACATTGATAAAGATAGGTCGGTCTACTTAATTTAATGATATCAAGTGAGCCAAAAATGTGCACAATATTGATTGCACATTTTGGCATTAAGTTATGTTGATAATGCTACAATACCTATGAGATCAGCTTCAATAGGTATCTGGTGTTGAATGAACCGGAACCACTCGTCGAGCACAGCAAACTCGGCCGGGTGCAGGGTGCCACTCCGCATCATGTTCTCCACGAAGCAGTATCGAGCGCTGAACAAAGAGCGCTCCATCAGCTTCACGGGCGTCGGCGTGGGCCGCCGGTGCATGTCCAGCATCGTCAGAGACACGTACGACTGGAAGGTCATCGCCCATTTAGCTGGGTCCTTGTACATCAGATCCTGAAAACATAGGAAAAATACCACTATTAACCCTGAAACTACAGCAAAGTTGATTAATTATACGGTCATACACTTACAAGTAGATTCCATCCTTTGAGATTGCGCCATTCTTCCACTGGCTCAGTCAGCAGTGTGATGTCTTCAAACTGTCTAAAATGTTCGAGAAACGTTGTTTTTCCACTTCCTATATTGCCCTCGACGAAAACAGTGAAAGGTTTCGCGTTCATTGCACTCATTTTGCTAAATGATCTCTGGGCTGAAACGATTTCACTGGTTTTAGATACGATAAAAACACTTCACTTTGGTTGCCACTATAGCACTGAATGCTACTAATTTCTCGAGTCAGTTACAACAGGGGAATTCCTGCCCAATTGAAGCAAAGCCAAAGCTGCTGATGCTAAGTTTGTTTTGTGCCACTGGAAAGGTGGATAAATCCCCAGCCAGTGTGCTTACGTGCACCCAATGACAATGATGACAATACCTAGTAATTTCCCGCCTAAACTGCCCCCAAAATTGGTTTATCGAAATTACAAGGCGCGAAAGCTTTCTGTCAATATGACAGATATAGAATAGTAAATACAAATACCTCTAAAACATACTGTAATTAAACGACTCTTGAACATTACGTTTTTGTTGTTATTAATATTTTAGTTTTTTCTTACATATCAGGAAATGTTAAATAACCTTTAAAACTAACGAAAATTCCTGTAAAAACAAATAAATTACACACGCATGTAACCACAAACAAAACCAAATCCTGTCAATGTCATGTCCTGTCACTTGTCAAAACAGATTAAAAAAACAACCATAGACTAAAATTCGTTCAAAAACATTAGGCGCAGATACACTATGCGTAAAATATATCGAGACTGTAGTCTCGTAGTCTCGATCGCCCATACTTTGGTGTGCGTCGTCTTATTGTTAAGTAAACTTTGTTGTAATGATCAAGAGTGCAAATTACAATGGCAGCCGCTAATTTTCTTCTTTTTTCTTTCCTCGCGAGGTTTCACAATGCACGTGTGGTTATTAGAGATGGGTAGTGGGTAAAAACCCATTTCACCCGATTGGGTTAAAACTGGGTGATTTGGTCATTACCACCCATTCTGGTGGGTGAAAACAAAAATAGCGTTTTTTTAAAGTGAGAAGTGGTATTTGTTGCTAAGGGGGCGTTCTAGTGTTACGTAATGCAATCTGGGGGGAGAGGAGGTCTTGAAAAACGTTACAATGCGTTACAGTGGCGGAAGGGCGGTTCGATTTCAAGTTTTTAAGCAGAAGTACTTTGTAGTTGGTGTTGTTATTTGTAACTTTATACCGTAATGTCATCAAAGAGAGAGTTTGGCATTCAGGATTACGGGCTAATTTGATATTTTCATAAATTAACGAAAAATATTATTAAAGATAACCTGGTTTAAATAAATTAAATGAAACCATCAATCGAGCTAGTAGGATTTATTTTATTATTCATCAATAATCAAATTCAGAACATGAATATTCAACTGCAATGTCTGCTCATGAACGCTTCAAACTCGGTACTTCTTTCCCAATTCCATAAAATTCAAAACTTAGAAAGTGACAAAAAACTTTAAAATAGGTAGTTGAAACAGACTACAGCTAATTTTCATAGTGGACTGTACCATACGATAAACATGTCAGTCAATTTGACAACCTTTGTCGGAAACATTATTCAATGAAAATATTGTCCGAACCCTTAGTATTTCTCTTCGACAAATACATTAACACATCGTGAACCACTTTTCTTTCACGACTATAAAAATATTTTAGCAATTTAATTCACGAAATCAATTGCACACATTTAAAATAAAGTTTGTTTACACTTTGACAACAATAGACTGACATGCATGGTGACATGTCAATGAAGTTTTCAGTTACTGTTGCCATTAAAAGAAATTAGTACCATTAGTTTTCCGCAACATGGCGAGGGTTTTTATGTTCCTGGTCAGGCTATATATTGTATAGTTGCATGAACTTGCATGAGTGGCAGTAAACCAGTGAACACACGTTTCGAACTTCGATTATACATCATCGACGATTCCGTCGAAACACCGAAACGAGTAAGTAGTATAAGCCGGCCTTAACGATACATGAATACCGATATCTCATCCCACAGACGCGGTAAACTTGAATTCACCAATAGCATGACTCCACGAATCCATTGACAATTTTGACTGCCGAAAAGATTGACGCAGGGTACGGAAACTTCCATACTACGATCAAACTTGCTTCCAAACAGCGACTTCAGTCGATAAATTCCAATACTTTTTTTTTTTCTTTATGGCTCTCGCGGATTGCGTTTAGCCCATGAAGCTACAGATAAAAATGGAGGGCAAAGTTGGGAACAAAACTTGAGTCAAATACCTACTTATATCTATCTCGCTCTCTGTGGCCCTACCTCTCTTTTTAGTGTGAACTGTAGTATTGCTATCTTCTTATTTAAATCTCCTTGTAAATTCTTCGAAATAGCCAATTCACTAACCAAATAAGAAGTTAAATAAATAAATAATTAATATTTGAAACTTAGATTACCTAGTTAAATAAAAAATCACAAAATTGTCGGCCATTTAGGCTTAATGTGTTGGCGAATCAGGGAATTACAATCCCAATTTCTGAGGTATCGGTAATGTGGCAACATCGGCCGAATCCGGCCCATCATGGCGGTTGTTTACTATGCAGTTGATTTCGTTTGAGATTTTTCAAGGGACCTTATCATTGTTTTGTCTGAAGAAATGGTGCAAAATTGTATAGTGCGTGGTTGCGGTAGTTCGTGTTGTCCTGGAAGTGATATAAAATTCCACGCGTAAGTGTTTATTTCGTGATTTCTGACATGTTAGGTTGAATGCATTCTTGTTTTCTTAGCCATCGTTTATGAGTTCTGTGGCCCTATTAAAGTATTGAAGAGTCGAGTCAAATTCAAGTTCATTCCTTCGTACCTGCTGCTGTTCTGGTTCATCGGAGTTTTGTTCGTTCCTTCGTGAATCGCGAAGAAACTTTCTGTTATGTTAACAAGTGATCTGAGTTTTCTCAAAGTGCAAATGCTTTTTTAGTGTTGTTGAAAACTTTGCGAAAAGACGCTTTTGGTGTATAATATTATGTGTGTTCATAAATAAAGTAAAATTATTAAATTGAAAAGTTTTTGTTTATTTGCATTTCCATGTGCAATGTAGAATTTTTCCAAATCCATTGTTTTGAAAATAATACAATACGTACACCATAAAGATAAATACTTTCAAAATAATGGATTTGAAAAAATTCTACATTGTACATCAAAAAAACAATAATTCTTTGAAGGTTATGAGGGCCTATGTGTGCGTGAACTGTGTGTATGTGTGCGTGGACTTTATGTATGTATGTGTGCGTGTACTATGTGTGTATGTGAGCGTTACGTACGTAGGTTAAGTACAGCGAATTTAACACCAGGCTGTCAATTAGTAGGCTCAAAAATTTGACAGAGAGGGTTCTCTATTTCCTATGTATTACTTTTCTCTATGGATTGACGTGTTTATTTCACGCTGTTTGTTCAATTTTGCAAAAAAAGGGCTCATTGAAAAAGCCGGTACCACTGATTGAACGTAGCGTAAGTTAAAAATAATTACACAATATGCTGCGAACGCTTTATCTAGGTGAGTTTTAATAACATCTAATTAAACCGTGAGGTTTCTTGTTAACTTATTTAATTTTGCAGAACTAATTTGAACTTGTGTTTTAGGTGTTTTATTGTGTGCTGCGGGGTCACTGGCCCTGTACGACTCTTCGTCTGACGTGATAGAATTAACGCCCAATAATTTTGATAAACTAGTCCTCAATTCAGATGAAGTATGGATAGTGGAATTTTATGCACCTTGGTGCGGTCACTGTAAGAACCTGGTACCCGAATACAAGAAGGCCGCGCGAGCACTCAAGGTATTACAACATCAAGTTATTTACCTAGAATTTCATACAAACTCCTCCCTGAAAGGTTTTTATTTAGAAATCTTGTTAATTTTACACCTTATCTGTAATAGGTGTTTTAATATGATAAGCCATAAATTAAAAGGATCATTCTGATTAAGTATATACTGTTACCAGCCTAAAAACTAAGTCAGTTTAATATTAACTATAATTAGCCAGAGCATAACATTTTAAACACGTGATGTAATTTTCTGCTTATAAACACTGATATCTTTTACAGGGTATAGTCAAAGTAGGAGCAGTAAATGCAGATGAACACAAGAGTTTGTCACAGAAGTATGGAGTCAAGGGCTTCCCAACTATCAAGATGTTCACAGGCAGCAAAAACACTCCGTACCAGGGCCAGAGAACGGCAGAAGCATTTGTGGACGCTGCCCTCAAGGCTGCCAAGGACAGGGCCTACGATAACCTCGGCAAAAAGTCTAGTGGCTCATCCTCAGACAAGGTAAAAATCATGAAACAACTAAATGAATTGCTTAAAAAATATCCTTTGAAATTTAAAGGATAATTTTATTTAGACATACCATGTACGATCTCAACTACGTAAACTATGAAGTGATAATCAAATGTAAAATTAATTTTCTATGTCATATATTTTATTTAAATAGCAGAAAAAGGTGTATGGCCATTCTATCCCATGGAAAATAGTGAAAACCAATGCAGTTAAGAAGCAACTTATTCGGACTGGTGTTACTTTCCCCCTTGAAAAATCTAAATTAGAAATGCTACAGTCTAATCTATTTCGTAGAAGATTGATTGATGACGAACCAATTAAATTGGTCAAAAGACAATACTTAACTCGTAAGAAAAAACATGGGAATAAACGCAAAAGATACACATACAATTTCATATGAAAACTTCAGAGTCATTTGTAATTTTTCTAACATGTTGATTTTATAGAATTATTATAATATTGTTTAGAATTTTATTTTAATTAAATAAACTTCCTAATTGAAGTTTTTCTAGTTAATAATAGTGTGTATGTAGTTCATTGACATGGTTTCTTATCTTATGTTTTCTCTGCACATAGCATAGTGATCCATCTGTTTTGGTAAATATCTTACACAGAATTTGATAAACTTTATCATAATTAGGTTTATAGTTCTAATACAGTGGATTTTGTAGTTTGATTTCTACTTGGAACTTAAAAATTTGAATATTGGGCAATTTCCTAGATACCTCAGGGCAGGGTAATTTATGAAACACATGTTCATACATCATAGTATTTTATTTATAGTTTGCTACAAAAATACACAATCAAAAATCATATCATTCACAAACATTGAAGTAATATTACTACGTATAGAACAGACATCGCGAACAAAATATGTACAGTGCGGGGTGCGGGGCGGGAATTTGACGGACAGCTGTCAGTCAAATCCATGACTATCAAGTTTCATAATTATGGCGATAAAATCTGCACCAGAAAATGTCGCACTTCATTGATAGGATTGCACGAATAGTGACGTTCCTGCGGTCGCCTCATCATAGACATTGTGAATCGATTGTGAAAATAAACAAATCGGCTAAATTGTGTTAAATTTTCATGGTGCTCAATAGCAAAAAGGTTCAGCTACTTACATTATTTTCTTTTATTATATTGTGCGTTTCCTGTCATGTAATCTAAGCTCCCCTCCCTTAGACTAAAATTAGCCCTCCTAGACAAGTGACAAAACGTAGCAGTTGAAACATTCGAAATCACTTCGCTCTACCGTTTTTTGGTGTTAGTTACTTCACTCTGTGATGCGATTTTAAAATTACAACTGGCGATTCCGAATTCACAACTGAGGGGACTGAGGCTAATCGTGTTACTTGTGCTACAAGTGCGTATGGGCTTCATACTGATGCTTAAGCCATTAATTATTTTTCTTCCCGATTAAAATCTAATGTAATCGATAATCGCCTTGAGAATCGTTAACTGGTATTTTATAATTCGATAAAAAAGTTACCCATCTCTAGTTTAAAACTGTCATCCAACAGCGCACGAAATATTATGAGTTATAGATAATGATACCATTACAGAGGCGACACTTCGTTTACGTTTAGTTTCTGCCTATTGAATTGGATACTGTAAGGAAACATCGTCATCATCATTTTAGCTACTGGACGTCCACTGCTGAACAAAGGCCTCCTCTAATGATTTCCACATCGCCCAGTTGATAGTGGCCTGCACCCAGCGTCTTCCTGCTATCTTCAGTCAGTCCATCTTGAGATTTTAGAAAAATTCCCACTCGTCACGGTAGGAACAAAGCTAGGGATGACCCACGCCTTCACTCCAGAACCAATAAAATAACTGAAAGTCAGAAACTTTCAGTTATTTTATTGTCTCTATTGTTAACTATCTCAGTGGTTGAGTACACGTATAATAGCTGTGAGGTAGAAGTTACGGGACTATTCCCACCTCTCCTTTTCACCGCTGCATCTCCTGTGTAGCTAGCACCTAGACTAGTTGATTTAAAGCCAAGGTATATCAGTTTTTAGGTAATGACTTAGTGCATCTAAAAATGTAAAACTTTCTAGTTTTTTGTAACATTGAAAAATCTAAAAAGAAGCATCATTTTTTTTACCAAGTGTTTCTAAGAAATTTAAATGGAAGCTTTTGATGACAACGTATTGCTTACTTTTTCAGCTGTCGAACGAATCACTTTTATACTCATAGGTCCTGTACATCGGTAGATTTGGTAAATAAATGAATCCATCCGGACTCAGAAACTAAAAAAATTAAAATAGCTGTAATTTTTTAATACTGGATTTGTCGATTAAATTGATCATATTACTGCGCCCTAACGGGTCGGACACTGGTGACCAGACACACTGTACAATTATTATAATTTTAGCCTATCTCGTGAGCTAGGTGTCAATAATTAGGGTGATTTACTAACTAACCAGTCGCATACGAACAACAGCAGTGAGATTCAAACAAGTTTGATCCATGATGCCGCACGACTATTGTGTGAGCCCACCCGTAACCCAAGCTTATTTAGCTTAACACAAGGGGCTGGACGGGACTATTAGTAATTTGTACAATACAAAGTGCTTATAATCTTTAAAAAATTCTTTTTATTGCTGTATTTAACCTTCCTTTCGTATACTAATTTATGCGTCAGTGTCAAGTCTGCGATTTTTATTCTTTGAAATTTTCGTAAAATGGCTGCCGCCGCGGTGACGCCTTGTAATTAACAAATTAAAATTAAATTAGTGTTTTAAAGTGCATAAATGTACAACTTAATGGTAAAAAGTCATTCCTTGATTTTTACTTAATATGTATCTGGAGTTATTTGAACAGTATTTTCGTCTATAGGATGGCATATTTCAAAAAACAAAACTGCACTCAAGCGTGTTGTCACAGCAACCGCTGAGCACATACTAATTGAATTTCGGTCCATGGACCTGTTTGCGTGCCAGAAACAGTCTAGTTGAGATGTCTTCTCTAGTACGTAGTACATTATAACTCAATGTTCACAAAAACATAACAGAAAGATGGACATAACATAATACAACATTAGAATGTATGTATGTGTATAGAAATTAAAATATATTTTATGTTTAAAAGAGTAGGTGGTGATTGATGTATACAGCTTTTTTCGTGGAGGCGATCATCGCGCCACTCCCACGTGTGGCCCACGCGTCCTTTCACTACCGGAATAATACTTACGTTTTCGCTTACTATTGGGACACGTCACTCTGACCTCTATTATACACTCGGCATCAAATAAATCGCACCTCCCGCAACAAGCACTTCTCAAACGTATGCATCCCCACTTCCCACCAATATTGGTACCATTTAAAAGCCTAGTTCTAAACTTCATTTCATTAAAGGAAAGGTTTTTACCCCAAAAATGTGTCTTTAGAAGGATCCAGAGTCACTTTAAAAAAAATAGGTAATTACGTTTGAGTCAATTTTTTTTTTTTTTTTTTTTTTTAAAACTTCAGCACACATAGAGACAATGCACTGTGGCGGACTTAATGCCGGATGGCATTCTCTGCCAGTCAACCACGGGTCATGCAGAAAGAGTAAGGCGGTGCAAAAAGTGTACATTTAGAATAATATACCTACTTACATAGGATTACATACAATAAATGACATAATATAAATAAATATAATAGACATACACATAAATACATAAACATAATAGTATTATAGATGTACACATCACTCATGTCTGAGATAACGAGATAATGAAGAAAAAAGGTCATTCCTTGAAATGTTTGCGCAGAGCCTTTTTGAAAGTAAATTTGGAGGAAGGTTTGCGTAATTTGGCCGGAAGGTCGTTCCAGAGCCGTACAGCGGAGACTAGGAAAGAGTTGGACATGAAGCCGGTGCTATGAAGAGGGGTGGCAAGCTGAAGAGTCTGACTAGAGCGAAGATTTCTATTGTGAGTGGAGTGTAGGTACTGAAATTTATCTTTTAAATAAGATGGAGAGTCAGGATTGAAAAGAATTGAATGAAGCATACAAAGTGAACGAAGATATCTACGCTGTCTGATGGGAAGCCAACCAAGCTGCGAGCGAAAAGGTGAGATGTGGTCAAACTTGCGGAGGCCGAAGATAAATCTGATGCAGTTGTTCAAGAGGCGGTCCAGCTTGTTTAAAAGTTCCTGTGAGATGTCCGTACAGCATACATCGCCATAGTCGAGGATAGGCAGGATCAGAGACTGAGCAAGTAAGGTCTTAGTGCTGGAAGGGAGGAAGTTTTTAAAGCGGTAGAGTGTCCGCAGTGAACCGATCACCTTCCTGCTGACTTCCCTGACATGCTGGGACCAGCTCAGAGTGCTGTCAATGAAGAGTCCGAGATTTTTCACGTATGGGGAGAAGTTAACAACAACTCCGTCAAAGACAACACAATTTTCATGGCTATAAAACTGTTAAGTTGGGATTAATCACTATCCATCTGTTAAAGAGGACACGTGTGATCATTATTTGGTTGCGTTTCTTCAAGACGCAATATGTTCGAACATTATGCAGTATAGCTATGTATGAGCTAACATAATACAACCTTCTCACAATCGCCACTGAAAATGTATCGCGATATTTTTATGTATTTACGTTTTTATGGCGTAGACTATTTGACTCCTATGACTTTCATGTTTTTTTTTTATTTCATACATATTAAGAAATCTTTATTGATCCTGAACTGAATACTGGTCAGGTTGTTCTGTACTGGTGTAGGTACTCCATCCATACTACCATTCCAACCACCATCTTAACTTTTATGAGATCTTACTAGAGTTATTCTCCCTGTTTAATCAAACTAGTGAAGGTAGGGAAGGTCCAGGAATGAGCAAATCATTGGACATGGAAGGGTTTCTTCTGCTATTACATTAATTTTACTAAATAATGGATAACATGGAGGTGTAGATTATAGCTATTGTTATTTTTATATTATTTTATTCTCTTCATCTTGTAGTCGGATGTCATTGAGCTGACGGACAGCAACTTCAAAGAACTGGTGCTGGACAGTGAAGACCTCTGGTTGGTTGAGTTCTACGCCCCGTGGTGCGGTCACTGCAAGAACCTGGAACCACACTGGGCTAAGGCAGCCACTGAGCTTAAGGGCAAGGTAAGCCAACATTATGTCCCTTTGGACAGTCAGCGCCAAGTAGCTCGTAACCTTTAGGCGCATTAGGGCTAATTCTCATTATAGACACTTCTCATTTTGGCAATTCTAACTTGGGCTACTTCTCATTAGGGCTTTTTTACTTTTACACCCAGAGTGGCCAAAAAGTTGACAATAACAAACTTTTTGGCTACTTTGGGTGTCACGAACTATTTGACGCTGACTTTAGAAGTAACTCGCTGAAAAAATAATCAGAACAAAATGATGGTGAGATTGTTTTACTACTTTAAATATAAACATTGTATGAAATGTTTATAACCAAGCTGTATAAATTTAAAAGTTAAATAAATAATTTAGACCCCATTATTAGCAAAATGAATTGGATAATTTATGATTTGTTCTCTGATTAACTATCAGCCACCTAAAAACCACCTATGTAAAAAGACTAAAAGAACACTTACTAGGAGACAAGTCCCGGTTATTTTGATAAGGGACCTGGATAACGCCCCCTTTATCAACATCACCAACAAAACTTTTTTGTTTTGCTCTTATCTTAACGGTACAACGCTCACGCGTCTGATAAGTAAGCTCGTGCATTAAAACTAAAAATTAGTATCAATATAAATAAAGATATTGTGTTATCAAAAAGCCAACTAGTTTTACAAACTCACTTTCATTCTTACGGTTATTGACATCGAGTGTGGCGACCTAAATATGACAAAGTTTCGCGATTCTGGCAATATTCCAGTGACGCGACAGAAAGTGGATATTAGATGCCTGAACTAAACTGTTGCATATGTAAACAACAATAATTAATGTTCTCGCTAAAAATATTGTATGATATTTATTTCATACTTGGGTCCCCTAATCTAACGTTGGAACAGCAGGTGGCACTAGCAAAACATACCTAATAATATATTTTTAAGGAGGGATAGATATCTGTTACATTTTTATGCAAAATCTATTTGACGAATTATTAAATACATAGTTATAGCTTAATATCAAAATATCACATAGGCTATTATCACTTTGACTTAGTTTTTTAGGAAAATTACGCCGACGAAATCGCGGGCAAAAACTAGTAAACCAAACATGACGAAATCGGGAACAAATTCTAGTAATTCAATAACTATCTGCAAATATAAGCTTGCCTTTGATGAAACTTATTGCACATCTTATGCTTCAACCAGACCAACGCGTGCAAATCGCCATCGCTGGCGCGATCATAGGCCATTGACAGGTCGCGCGACCCATAACAATTGAAGGGGTGAGTGGACAAAGGTGTTATCTGACAAAACTGAAGAATCGACTTTTTTGCATGAACATAGGTTTTGAGTGATGATAAAATCGACTAATGATCTCAAAACACGCAATTTCGTTACGTGTCAAACCTTAACAAAGGTGTTATCTGACAAGCATTCATACATATCAGGATTCAAATGTGGTATGAGCAGATTAACATTTTCAAACACTCATAACTCATTTTGTTAGTTATGACCTTTGTCCACTCACACCTTCAATTTACAATATGCCTGTGATACGGCGATGGCGATCTGCACGCGTTGACGTAGTTGAAGCATTACCAATTCCGACTATTATTCTATCAAATTCTCACCACTACTTCTTTCCAGGTGAAGGTTGGCGCTCTAGACGCGACAGTCCACCAGGAGATGGCCGCCCGCTACCAGGTGCAAGGCTACCCGACCATCAAGATGTTCCCGTCGGGCAAGAAGACCAGCGACTCGGTGGAGGACTACAACGGAGGCCGGACGTCCAGCGACATCGTCGCGTGGGCCCTTGACAAGGTTGCCGAGAATGTGGCGCCGCCGGAAATTATTCAGGTATGTTTCATGGTGCGACTGGGTCATTTCTAAAGGGTGTCACAAAATTAACGAAACTTTTAAATTTGCTACCATTTATGCAATAAAGTGTTGACAATCTTAAAAATAAAACAAATCGACAGCTGATAGTTTAGGGTTACTAAAAATGTAGCGTTACACAATAGAACAACCTGTCTTCGTCCGCAATTCGAAAATTCCATACAAAATATGGTCGAAATAGTGTTTTAACTTTGTGAATTGTGAAAAAAATTATTGAGAAATTCCGGGAGATAGGATCTGTTGGAATCGCCAAACACACTGTTCTTCCAAAAACAAGTCGTTAAAATGTCAATATCGAAGCAGTGCGTGAGTATCGGTGACAATCCAGGAATCTCAAATCGGCGTCGTTGCCAAGATGTTGTGATTTAACACCATTAGATTTCTTTTTATGGAGTTATTTAAAATCACAGGTCTATGTCAACAAGCCCACAACCACACGTGCATTAAAAGGAGGAGATTCAACGTTGCGTCAACGAAATTCAGCCACATAATTTATGCAAAATGGTCATGGGAAATTTCGACAAACGAGTGCGTTGCTGCGTGCGTGCCNACGAGAACGGTTTGTTCAAAATATATGAATTTGGTCTTATTTAATGCAGAATTAAATGCCCTTCAACCATCAGGAAGACCACTTTTCGATAGGGTAAGTCCTTTACGCGGTATAACTGGAAAACCGAAAAAGCGCCCCTTTCGGGGGCCCCCACCACTTAAGCACAACTCCGTCGAAGTCGAAAACTTAGGAGATGCTTAATGGGCAACCAATGAAGCCATTAAAGCAATAAAATCTTTTGTAGGAATTATTTCCGATTTAAAAGCGAATTCTACTGGACTATTAAAATGTTGGCTATCTAATATGACCCATGAGACTTGGGCATTTATCTTGACTCAAAAATGTTGTTCAAACAGCACATAGATTACATAGTTAATAAAGCTTTCCGTAATCTGGGCTTCACAATGCGAATTTGTAAGGCGTTTAAAAACCCTCAAAGTTTGAAATCTGTATATTACGCATACTGTCGTAGCATCTTGGAATACGCTAGTCCCATCTGGTCTCCTCAATACGCTAAATATAAAACTAGTCTTGAAAAAGTTCAGAAATTGTTCGTTAACCACCTAAACTTTAAGCAATCACGGCGTCGCGAGGGCTATGTAAAAGACTGTGGCCATTTCAATCTATTACCTCTTGAATCTCGACGCGACATTATTGACATGTGCCTACTGTACGACATTCTGCGAGGCAATCTAGACTCACCCAATCTTCTATCGATGATCAGCTTCTGTACACCTAAATTTCGGACTAGACACACCCCGCTGTTGGCCATACCCAAGCATCGTACCAACTATGCCCAGAACAGTGTTATGACTCGTTTGCATAAAACATACAACTCTAAGTATAAACACATTGATTTCTTTAATGTGAGTAAGAGTACACTGAAGAAGGAAATGAGACATATTATTTTACAAGTTAATGCGCCGGGTTCCTAGAAATCCTAATATACCTATCTATGTGTTCTGACCACACGGTGCATCTTATACCTACCTAACTCAGTGATCACGTTATTGTGGGATATAAATATATATAACTAGGGACATTTAAGGTCTGCCTAATTAATATTTAATTGTTTTGATGTCTTAAGGGTTGTAATAATTTACCCAAATTTACTTATATTTAAATTTAATTACACTAAGATTGTATAACCTGAGCGCTGCATGTTCAATCATGATTATTATTTTTAGGCATGGTTGAGGATGCAGCGCTTATTAATACAAGAACAAGATGTGGGGGTGAGTGCATCACAGATAGGGTTGCCAGGCGTCCGGCTTTAGCCGGACATGTTTGGCTTTTTAGGGACTTGTCCGGCCAAATATTGCCTTGTCCGACGTGTCCGGCTTTTGTTAGGCTTTTTATTTGGTTACCGCGCAAGGCGAAAGTCGAGCCACAGAATCATATGAAGCGCACGCATCAGGATGTTGGTTAGCAACGATGATGATAGTACTCATGAGCTGACACTAATTGCATGTCCGGCTTTTAGGGTAAAATGTCCGGCCAAATGAAGCACAAAGTCCGGCTTTTGTGATTTTGGACCTGGCAACCCTAACCACAGACAATTTTTTTTGGGCTTGGGAAATGTGGTAGTTTACACCATTTTAGGTTAGCTTTAACTGAGTCAATACCTGAGGATCATGGGAGTTACATTGACATAATTATGACGTGATAGAGCATAAAACTCTGAAGGCGATTTGAAGTCTTGCTGACGTTTGACCGTCACAAAAACCCTACCGTGCCGCTTCCATACCTCAGGAACTGAGCTAAGCGCTAAATTGTATTTCTATACCAAATCTATATAAAAACCGTGTTTTAACAGCTGAATCTACCCTGTTTCATGAATGTCTGCATATTTCTATCTTTGTCGTGAAGTAGACAGGGGGGAGTTGTTCCTATTCTACTCTGCCAGTATCACATGACTGTGCAGTCAGTGGCGGGGCAAGACCTAAATTTGATGTGGGCAAGACATATTTCGCGAGGCCTTGTTCTGTGGCGAACTGAATTATAAAAAAAGTAATAATAAAAAAGCAATGAACACTGACAAGTTTTTATTCATAAAAATACAAATTAGATAAATATTTAAAAAAAATTTTTTGAGGCGCGAGGCCCCTTGTACTGCGAGGCCGTAGGCGGTGGCCCACGTCGCCCACGCCTTACGCCGCCACTGTGCAGCCCTACAGTAGATTACCTAAAGATGATAAATGATATAACCGACTATTTTATTCCAGATGGATTTGGGCTGAAGCGGGCGCGCAGCCTGCTTTGGAAGACGCGCTCGAGCTGGGCGGTTTTGGCTACCCGGCGATGGCGGTGGTCAACGCTAAGAAACTCAAGTTCTCCACGCTGCGCGGGTCATTCTCAGAGAATGGCATCAACGAGTTCCTCAGGTTTGTTTATAATGTGGTCATCGATTCAGTCAAAGGATGTCCACTGCTACACAAAGGCCTTCACCAAAGCCTTGAAGCCACGATAGCCGAACGGTGAAGGGGTCGGACTGGCCGACTCGTGATCCGGGGAACGCGGGTTCGGTCCCCGTCGCCGCTCGACTATTGTGGTGAGCTCACACGTGACAAGCATTTAGCTTAGCACGAGGTGCTAATGTGAATATTAGTAATTTGTGCAATAACAAATTACTAATAATCTTTTTAAGAAGAAAAAAAGGCCTGCCTCAAATACTTCCACAACGACAGGTCCAGTGCTGCTAGCATTCAGGTGCTTCTCGCTCCCCACTTTGTGTCACTTTTGGAAGGTTTTCTCACTGGAGATCTCTTCTGTTCTAATAACTATCAATTATCATGAAAAGCCTCTGTTTGTTGAGACTAAAAGTACGGACTACGGAAACAAGGTTATTACGAGGATAATAGTTACCTTGTATCGCGACCGGACGGCCACTTTAATTATCAGCGTGATTATTGCCCAGCTTAATACGCATTAGTAAAACAAATAAATTGTCATTTCCGTCAATTGGATGCAATTACAACGTGATCAATGGACCGCTGCCATCTGTTTACACAAATCACGATTTGATCAACCGCGACTCAAATGACATGACGTGGTTGGCAAACCGCGTCATTACCCCATTAAACTTGGAATTATTGTGTAACGAACAATATAAGGTGAAACAAATGTTGTTGTATAACTATAGGGCCAATATTGAAAAAAAAATGGCATCATCACCATTATTACCTTTACATTCATTATCATCATCATAATCATTTCAGCCATAGGACGTCTACTGCTGAACATAGGCCTTACTTACATACATACAACAACATAACCTTTACATTACATTATCGGAAATTATGCCTTTGCTGGATAAAGATATGCACAATAATTACAGTTAGGGGTGAAGTGAACCACTCATAAAACTAAGGCTGGTTTTAGTATCACGCTGACCGCTCGCTGATCATCGGCGCTGACAGATCAATATGTATGTAATTAAAGGATACGTTCTTGGTAACGCTGATCGCTTGACGCCGACGCTTTATACATTTTGGCTGTCAGCGCCGACGGTTAGCGTGCGTCAGCGCGATACTAAAACCAGCCTAACTGTCATTTCTTCCTTGAAACCAAATCAAAAACTAACCAATCTTCTTTATTACAGAGATCTGTCGTTCGGTCGCGGCCAGACGGCTCCAGTGAAAGGCGCTGAAATGCCCAAGATCTCCGCCACCGAGCCCTGGGACGGGAAGGACGGCGAGTTGCCGCCAGAAGAGGACATCGACCTCTCCGACGTAGACCTTGAGAAGGACGAGTTATAAGTCAAACGCCTCCGAGCTTCAGTTTCAAGTCTGATTTAGGTTTAGATTTACAGGTCTGAGGCGGCCTCCAACAGTAAAGCTTGAGGAAACAACTGATAAATCAAAAGGACGCTATGTGAGCGGGTCGGCAGTACTTACAATGTCTGTGTAGGTTTTATCCCTAATAGTCATCTACTCACACCGGGAATATCAATGAAATTTTACCGTCTGACTGTGCCCAATGATGCCGACCCGCTCGCGTTTAATTAACGTCTCTAACACAAATTAGCATTATTGGCTTTGTTAACTAAGATCATTTTTGTCCGAAAGTGATAGATCGATGTAATTTATACTCACAACTACTTTTGTTTACCGATAGAACGGCGCCTATACTTAAATTGTGTTTAACAGCGCCGTGCGGGTTTTAACATGGAGAGCTACCTACTTTGGCGTCAACGAATGTGTTGCGCATATCATAGCATAGGTTTCAATAACTATACCTAACGTTAAACAATCAGACAATCGGCAAATTACAGGCAATAATATTCCAGCTAGTAGATTCAGCGATACATAATTTTATCTAAGGTTTATTTTTATAGGATATTTATTATGAAATACCTTTATTTGAAAATCACAATGTTGAAACTACTATTTTTTCGCGACATTTTTTTATGTAATATTTTCTGTATAATGTGTATTGTATTGTATGCAATGATGATGAATGAATTGGTGTTTTCTTAAGGAGCGTAATATCATTAAAACTTTTGTATTATAGTATGCAACTTAGAATATCTCAAATTATTTATTAAATTGAACTTTGGTGAGAATTTAGGTAGATATTAGCTGGCAATTCTTCCAATAAATACTGTACCTTATAATGCATTTATAGGATATTTGGAAACGTTTAACATTGTAAAAACATCCCAATAAACTTTTACAATTACTACTTACTTGTGTTTATCACATAAAAAATCCTTTTACCTAATTAATACACAAACAACATTAACATTAACTACATTAAGGATTATATTTTTAGTAAAAATACAGATAGCTGCACTTTTAATTGTCGTATTATAGGCCAGTAGAATTAAACACAAAAATTGATTAAATCGGAAATAATTCCTACAAAAGATTTTTTTGCTTTAATGGCTTCATTGGTTGCCCATTAAGACTCTCCTAAGTTTTCGACTTCGACAGAGTTGTGCTTAAGTGGTGGGGGCCCCCGAAAGGGGCGTTTTTTCTGGTTTTCCGGTTATACCGCGTAAAGGACTTACCCTATCGAAAAGTGGTCTTCATGACGGTTGAAGGGCACTTAATCCTGCATTGAATAAGACCAAATTCAAATGTTTTGGACAAACCGTTCCCGCGCTAATGTTCGGAAAAGTAGAAAATATACGTATAATTAATGACCCTCTCCACGTCCAATGGCTTGTTACCCACAGGCTTCCAAGTTTTGAAAAGGGCCACCTCAACCAGTGTNATTTGCCCGGTGTGTTATTCCATAAATAACCCTATTCTATGTACTTTATGATTCAATAAAAATAATACAATCAAAAGGCTAAAAACTATGTTTTCTAGTTAATTCAAAAGTTTCGTTAATTTTGGGACACCCTTTATTTTGTGCTGGAGATGAGATTCTTGTTGTAAGAGACCAAGACTCACTGGGTCGCTGCTGCGCCATCTTATGTTCCATGATGGATATGGATCTATGTAATAGATTGATGTTCTTTATTGGTCACTACATGAAAATGTAAGGAATGCAAAAGAAAGGTAGACGCTATCGTCAGGAAGCGGTCTCTTCCGGATAAATAAGAGGACACTTAAAAAAATAAATAAAAACACCCTGTCAGGAAAAATTTGCTAGTTAGGAAAAGTTTTTGGTCAAAGAATTAAGACAGCAAAAGTCTCCACGTTTTCCGTTGGACCTGGAAATAATATAAATAATTTTAAAGGTAGGATCTTTCTTTCTTAGGATTTCTTTCATTACCTTTGCCCCAGTACCTTTTTCTTGGTCGTTCCACAAAACCTTACATGTGGATCACGTACAATCACAAACAATGTATTGTTGGTCCAAGATCTGTCCAAAACTAATATGATTGGAATATTAGCTCCAAAACTATATTTTTTTTATACGAATATCAATTTGTCAGCCTGCTCAAGGCAGCGTCAACCTTCAACTAGCCGCAATCGAAACAATGTACACACCTACCTAACAATAAATATTATATTGTTTTCGTTTCTTCTATTCTATGTTTAAACAAACTTGCACAACACAGTGGCAGTAAGTGGTTCATGATGTGTATAATCGGTCCAGTAGGCCCACAACTGAAGCAAGAAATTGTAATAGGTATTAGGTTTCGATTTGCGTTTAGTCGTAAAACTTATCACGGTTCTAGTAACGTTATGTATGTTTTGGTTTTGTAACATGCGTTACATTATGTTGTATGTTTACACTCACGCCTAATAATTTAAAATAAGTTTAATGAAGTTGATAATTTTGCTAAACAGATGATGAGGAATCAAAGGAAGAGAATGAAGTCCATTCAGTAGGCCTAGGATGCGTGCCATGATAAATATTTATCGTGGCATTGTATCGATTTTATGTGATAAACCCATACATTTGACGTCTAAAATCATCGATTCAAACGATTCTGTGTCGTGACGTCAAGTGGCAAAAATTGGAACTAATAATCAAGTATAGTAGCGCCCTCTTGACAATGTCATAGCTGGGACGCGATGGTTCAGTGTTGGACAACTATGAGATTTTATCTCGACACTTGGTAGCCCGGCTGGATTCCATTCCCAGGTGGGGTGGGTGTTAAGACTTCATACGGCACTAGCCTCATATTATGTAGCCACTAAAATTCTAACCTTAATCATTTACCATAAGGTCGAAAATCAATGTTTGAATCATCCTTTTTCTTTCCAGGTGGTGAATGAAGAGACCATGAAGGCTTGCAGCGCGGCGCCGCTGTGCGTTGTATCAGTGCTGCCTCACATCCTGGACTGCAACGCGGCGTGCCGCAACGGATACTTAGACGTGCTCGCACGCCTCGGCGACAAATANTAAATAAATAAATACATACAAAATTGGCATTAATTAATTGTCACATTATTTTCTCTAAAACTTTGGTGACAAATAACAAGAGAAATAAATGATTATTTTAAAGAAAACTAAGTATCTTTTAGCAGAATAATCCTATCTGATTGTGATAGCTAAAGATTTTCGGTAATTCTACACTCAACTCGGAACTACTATGCGTCATTCTAACACACCTGTTTACTGAGAAGCAGGTATAAAAATCTGTAACAGGATAATATGGCTTTAAAATGAGTCGTAAACAAGCTAAGACAGTATTCCAAAAACCCCATTACCATATGAGGAAAAACCTACTTTTAAACTTATGCTATACAGGCAGACAGTTAGCATGGAATTCGAGTCACCTTGCGAGTCGTTAACATTGTCAGAAATGAATGAATTCAAATTTTTTACCAACTTCAAAAAAGGAGGAGGTTCTATGTTTGATTGTATGTATTTTTTTTTTCTTTGCTTTGTGTTATCTGAATTGTTATTAATGGGCTACAACATACACCCTGTATTATAATGAGTCTACACATGCCTCTGTCGGTATTAACTATTCTGTGGGTCTAGACAAAGTGCCATTATAATCGCAAACCAGTCGAAAAGTGGTCGAAAAGCCCCTTTTTTGTATGGAATTTGACGGATTCGATTTTCGATTCGATCAAAAAGTGCGTTTTGTCTAGGGGGGCTGGGAAAGTTAAAAAGTCAGTATACAGTCATAAAGTAAAATAAGTAGGTACTTAAAATTCTTAGTGCCAGTCCTAGTTTCTCAGTTTATAGGACATACGATTTTAATCGTCGTAACGCACGCGATAAGCGCGAAGCTGCATCTGTAAATGTACAGATAAAGAAGCGTTATGCAACAATAGTCATTATTTAACTGGTTGAAAAACTAAGATGTTAAAACCACTTCAAGCATGACTCGATTAATCTTCCGGTTGGTCTGTCGCGAGGTCATTACACGCTCAATCAAGATAAGAAAAACCATAATTACATCTAATAGTGTATATTTGAGCATTTAATTACATAGTTAACATTTTTTGATACCATGTAGGTACTACATACAAACTAAAATTAGGTTGCAGATAATACTGTTCAAACAATTAATAAGGACAAGTTGATAGAAAAGATAAACAGTACATAATTATAAGATAATTGGAATAATATGCCTACTTGTCCCCATAATGATGATGGATTTATATGGCAATGTAATTGTGGATATCAGTTTAATTACCATTAGGCATTAACTATCAATAATATGTGGATATTTATCGTAATAGTATTTTATTGAAATGTATGAAGTTCATAATTTCCTTATTATTTGCCTTGGAAAACAGGTTTCTTATCATCTAAGACAAAACTGCATTTTCTTCACTATGGCACTTTTTACTGTAATTTTCAGTAAACCTTGTTTAAATATAATTAATCAGTCAATTATTATGCTACTTATTGAACTAAAGTACTCTTCAACATTAACAATACATTCTTTTTTTTTTCAGTTTTACTATTGGTCCCAGCCTCATGATTAATACACAGGTACAGAAGCAAAAGACACTAAAATGGAACATGAAAACCTTAATAGTTACATTAAAACATCTATTACCAAAAGATGGTAATAAAACAGTATATAAAAATAATACCTTATTTTCATTTGGTATCAGAGACACTTATCTTGTAGTATTCATTTAAAATTTGTTCAACATTTACGAGAGGTGTCACCTTTTCCAGTAGTTAAGATTAAAGTCTTATCAATAAAATACAAGTCATTTAAACCTAAATTGACCACAACCAATTTCATACCAATATTTTCAATTCATCAAACGCTTTGTAAAGCTTTAAATTGTCACCTATAAAAGCCTGGAGGATATGCAAAAGATATTCTAAACACTTTATCTGCTCATGATTTATGCTACACTTGGTAATCCCATCATGTCATATTTCCTCTCTTTTTTACATAAAATGGGATAACACATAGCGAAATAGTATAAACCCATTCCTGCTAGAATTAATGATATTACCACAGCCACAATGCCCCAGGCAGATATCCCAAGTCCTCGTCTGGGGGCTTCCTCAAAAGGCAGTCCAGAAGATGTGCCCAGGTAAGTATTTGCAGAGGCCTCCTTGCTTTGTCTGCTGTTGTATCTACTGCTACCGTATGAACTGTATCCTCGATAGCTTCCTAACGCCAGGCATGGCAATAACACTTGATTGAGCACTGTAAATTAAAAAAATATTAATGAGTACCTGCAGGTAGGCTTGAATTATAACTCAAAACTTAGATATTTATTAAGATAATATTACAAAATAACCCGTTGTTATAAAGATGAACACCTTACCTATTACAGCAAGAGCAACACGAACTAACAAGCCCATCATTTTTGATTGTTCTTCCTGTGGCAAGATTGTTAGGGAAAATATGATTTTCACAAACAATAGAAATGGAATGTGTGCTTCCAACTGTTTTAGGGATCTGACACAAGTAAACACATAAGGTTAGCAATAACTTTATGTGTTCATAGATTTATAAAATCATTTTCATAAATGTTTTAAAATAACACGAAACTTGTGCACCGCGTCGTCCCCAAACTTTTACTGAGTGAATGAATGAACGAAAACGAAAGTACAAATGAGTGAGATGGGAATTTGACAGTGAGTGAATGGTGGTGTAGGCTACCATCATTCATTCCTTGATAGAATTCGTAGTTTCGTTCAGAAAGGGTTATTTTTCAACTGGCAATTATTATAGACGATTTCCGGTTTTATATGGTGGCGTGTACTTCCGCCAACGTCGTCAAATCAAATGTCATTGTCAAAAAAGTGATCAAAAGCGTAGCAATGCCGGCGATGGCGATAAAACAATTTGGCTTATTGTTCATACTTTTCAATGCCTTATATTGTGAATCAGCTAATTTAGATACTGTATCCGGTGATATAAAGTTTAAAAATGTTGATAGAACGATTGATCTCTCTTCACAACTCGTAAGAATATCGCAGAAAATAACCTTGGAGAACAGTGGCAAATCGCCGGTAAAGAGTTTCTTGTTAGCAGTAGAAGCTTCAGCCAAGAACAATTTGGCTTTTATCGGCGCCAAAGACGGTAATAGTAAAGAACTTCGTGTCACAGAGACTACCGTCAAAGGCCACGACAATGCAAAGTTCTGGCGCGTGGATCTGAAGGATGCCCTAAACGCTGGCTCAACAGTGGTTGTCACGAGTGAAGTGGTCTTAACCAAAGCTTTGCAGCCGTATCCCACTGCTATAACGCAACAGGAAGACCAGCTTGTTAAGTATACAGGCAATCTCTACATCTACTCCCCTTACCAGGTCACATCTCAAAAAACCAATGTAGTTGTGAACACAAAGGGCATCGAATCATTCTCGAAAGTCAAGCCATTTTCTCAACAAGATGGTGCCGTACAATACGGACCGTATGCTAATGTTGCTCCATTCACTGAAAAAGAATTGAGTGTGCATTACAAGAACAACTCTCCATTTTTAACTGTTACTCGAATTGAAAGGCTTATTGAAGTTTCTCACTGGGGAAACATTGCCATTGAAGAGTTGATTGAGGTTGAGCACACAGGAGCTAAGCTGAAGGGACCATTTTCGCGCTATGACTACCAACAAGATGTCCACAGCGGGCCAGCTAGTGTCCGGGCCTACAAAACGCTTCTACCTGCTTCTGCATCAGATGTGTACTACCGTGACACCAATGGCAACATCTCTACTTCCAATATGAAAGTCAAGAAAGACTCAGTTGAATTGGACCTCAGACCACGCTACCCATTGTTTGGTGGATGGAAAACTCACTACACCCTAGGCTACAATGTGCCTAGCTATGAATACTTGTACCATTCTGCCAATGAGTATCTGCTGAAGATGAGAGTTATTGATCACATTTTTGACGACATGCAGGTTGATGAGCTGACTACTAAGATTATTTTGCCAGAGGGTTCAACTGGCATCAAGCTGACTCTTCCGTACCAAGTGACACGGCTGCCCGACAGCCTGCACTACACCTACTTGGACACCAAAGGTCGCCCAGTCATCACTTTCAAGAAGACCAACCTAGTTGAGAACCACATTCAAGACTTCCAGCTGCGCTACACATTCCCTCGTCTCCTTATGTTGCAAGAACCACTTCTAGTTGTTGGTTTCTTGTACACATTATTCCTATTTGTAATTATTTATGTAAGATTAGATTTCTCCATTCATAAGTCTGAGCACCAACATAAGGATTAAATAAGTTTTATATTATTACATTATTGTATGTATGCAATAATCTAGTTCACTTTTGCATTTTATGTGCTGTCGCAAATGATTGTGTGCAATTAAATTATAAATAAAAAAGTCGTCTTTTGTTTCCTAAATTCTCACTTGAATAGTAAGAAAATAAAATACACAGAAATTCATATAAACATTTATTATTTCTCATTTGTATTGTCTATACAGAACAAAATATACCAACATAAAATATTTACAAGTTTTAGCCAAATACATGAGCATTATTAAATTTCTCTAACTACAGAACACATACTATATTGTTTTTACTTGTATCGTTCGTTTGTTTCAGCCAAATGATGTCCACTGCTGGACAAAGGCCTCCCCCATGGTTTTCCATAATGACTTGTATAAAATAAACAATTTGAAATCTGTATCAACAGGAAAGTGTTTTCAGTCAGAAGTATGAACATTTCATTCATTACATTTTACAATACACAACTCTTGAGAAAAACACAAACTGACCTGTTTATTATTTGATCAGGTAAATAAGTACAATCAGCATACTCATCACACTTGCGTGTGCTTATAGCTGCATTAGCGTTATTCGGCTCGTATAAACTTCTAAAACGTGACTTACATCGTCATGTTCTATACCATTTATCTATGTAAACTGTAATTATCATTCAAAGTTAAGGCCTCGTATTGTGCCATGATTTCCATACAACATGTGTTATACCATTATTAGATGCAGTTCACTTTATACTAGGGTAAACCGACATTCATTGGATGCTGCCAGTCATTGGACAAAACGACCCTTGAATTTTCTTAAAATGAATATTCCTTCAAAAAAACGCCCTTTTATCTCCATCAGTCGGAATCTCTCAGTGGTTGAAATAGAAATGCTATTTTTAATTCAGTAAATAACTGTCCAATAACTTTCTTAAGTGTCCAATGACTGGCAGTTTACCCTACTTTGCTTCAATAAGTATAAGATGACTCACTCTCTCTTTCAATCACCCGGCATAGTATTTATTTATCTATAAGAAAACGACTATACATACATAACCTAAGTTAGTATATTGAACCTATATGCCGTACTCGGAGAGTTTAAACCGCAGGACTACGGGTGCACTCGTGCAAGGAAGTATGGCGAGTTCCGTGACGACAGCGGTGATGAGGCTGGGCGGCGTGACGTCATACGTCAGGTTGAGCGGCGTGAGGTTGGGGTTCGACCGCCAGTCCTTGAGGGGCGAGTTCTCGTCTGTCTTGTCGATCAGCTCGTCTGGGTCACCTGGAAAGGCAGTTCAGGGTTAGCGATGTTGAAGACTGATAAATAGACATAGTCCAATAATGTGGCAGTGAAGCATAAACTGGCATAATGTGACGTAGACTCGGGGGAAAGAAGGTGGAGTAAAGTTCTCGAATATCGCTGCTTGAATGCCATAACGCGTGACCTACCTTATTTTCATCCAATAACTGCCAGCTACTTTGAGGTTGTAGTCCATCAATGAGGTGGGCGACCTACCAGTAGGTGTAGGTAAAGCCTGGTCCATGAGCACGTAGAATCCCGTCCAATGACCCCAAGCTGCCCATCCTTGTCGCTCGCACGTAATTATGTTGCTTCGCGCTTGCACACTCACTGCGGGCGCGCGTCGCACAGTCGCGACAGCAATATAATTACGCGCGAGCGATAAGGATGGGTAGCTTGGGGTCATTGGACGGGATTCTACGTGCTCACGGACCAGGCTTTAGTAACCTACACTAAGTTTGATGTTACTGCTTAAATTTTAGCATTCAAACGAATTCACACAAGGCGTACACTGCCTGTCCAGTGAAAGTGGTCACACTCAACGATCTCGTTGTACACGAAGGCGTCTGTATGCACTCGCTCGGAGAACTTATGCGTCTCACAGGCCACGAGCGCGGGCACGTTGTATGACGCGGCCGCCAGCGCCAACTGCGCAGTACCTCAGACTCCAAGGATGACGTCACAGCTCACAGCTGCGTACACCGCCTGGCCAGTGAAAGTGGTCACACTCACCGATCTCGTTGTACACGAACGCGTCTGTATGTACTCGCTCGGAGAACTTATGTGTCTCGCAGGCCACGAGCGCGGGCACGTTGTATAAAGCGGCCACCAGCGCCACCTGCGCCGTATCTCAGACTCCAAGGATGACGGCACAAACGCCTACACCACCTAGCCAGGGAAAATGGTCACACTCACCTATCTCATTGTAGACGAAGACGTCTGTATGCACTCGCTCGGAGAACTTGTGCCACGAGCGCGGGCACGTTGTATGACGCGGCCGCCAGCGCCGTACCTCAGACTCCAAGGATGACGTCACAGCTGCATATACCGCCTGGCCAGTGAAAGGGGTCACATTCGCATCACTCACCGATTTCATTGTAGACGAAGGCGTCTGTATGCACTCGCTCGGAGAACTTATGCGTCTCGCAGGCCACGAGAGCGGGCGCGTTGTATGACGCGGCCGCCAGCGCCGTACCTCAGACTCTAAGGATGACGTCACAAACGCCTACACCACCTAGCCAGGGAAAGTGGTCACACTCACCGATCTCATTGTAGACGAAGGCGTCTGTATGCACTCGCTCGGAGAACTTGTGCCACGAGCGCGGGCACGTTGTATGACGCGGCCGCCAGCGCCGTACCTCAGACTCCAAGGATGACGTCACAGCTGCATACACCACCTAGCCAGGGAAAGTGGTCACACTCACCGATCTCGTTGTACACGAAGGCGTCTGTATGCACTCGCTCGGAGAACTTATGCGTCTCGCAGGCCACGAGCGCGGGCACGTTGTATGACGCGGCCGCCAGCGCAATCTGCGCCGTACCTCAGACTCCAAGGATGACGTCACAAACGCCTACACCACCTAGCCAGGGAAAGTGGTCACACTCACCGATCTCATTGTAGACCAAGGGGTCTGTATGCACTCGCTCGGAGAACTTATGCGTCTCGCAGGCCACGAGTGCGGGCACGTTGTATGACGCGGCCGCCAGCGCCGTACCTCAGACTCCAAGGATGACGTCACAGCTGCGTACACCGCCTGGCCCGTGAAAGTGGTCACACTCACCGATCTCGTTGTAGACGAAGGCGTCTGTATGCACTCGCTCGGAGAACTTGTGTGTCTCACAAGCCACGAGCGCGGGCACGTTGTATGACGCGGCCGCCAACGCCACCTGCGCCGTATCTTAGACTTCACAGATGACGTCACAGCGGCGTACACCGCCTGGGCAGTGAAAGTGGTCACACTCACCAATCTCGTTGTAGACGAAAGCATCTATATGTAGTCGCTCGGAGAACTTATGCGTCTCACACCCCACGAGCGCGAGCACGTTGTATGACGTGGCCGCCAGCAGGATGACGTCACACGCACGTACACCGCCTGGCCAGGGAAAGTGGTCACACTCACCGATCTCGTTGTACACGAAGGCATCTGTATGCACTCGCTCGGAGAACTTGTGCCACGAGCGCGGGCACGTTGTATGACGCGGCCGCCAGCGCCGTACCTCAGACTCCAAGGATGACGTCACAGCGGCGTACACCGCCTGGCCCGTGAAAGTGGTCACACTCACCGATCTCGTTGTACACGAAGGCGTCTGTATGCACTCACTCGGAGAACTTATGCGTCTCACAAGCCACGAGAGCGGGCACGTTGTATGACGCGGCCGCCAGCGCCGTACCTCAGACTCCAAGGATGACGTCACAAACGCCTACACCACCTAGCTAGGGAAAGTGGTCACACTCACCGATCTCGTTGTACACGAAGGCGTCTGTATGCACTCGCTCGGAGAACTTATGCGTCTCACGGGCCACGAGCGCGGGCACGTTGTATGACGCGGCCGCCAGCAGGATGACGTCACACGCACGTACACCGCCTGGCTAGTGAAAGTGGTCACACTCACCGATCTCATTGTAGACGAAGGCGTCTGTATGCACTCGCTCGGAGAACTTATGTGTCTCGCACGCCACGAGCGCGGGCACGTTGTATGACGCGGCCGCCAGCGCCACCTGCGCCGTATCTCAGACTCCAAGGATGACGTCACAGCTGGATACACCGCCTGGCCAGTGAAAGGGGTCACACTCACCGATCTCATTGTAGACGAAGGCGTCTGTATGCACTCGCTCGGTGAACTTGTGCCACGAGCGCGGGCACGTTGTATGACGCGGCCGCCAGCGCCACCTGCGCCTCCAAGGATGACGTCACAGCTGCGTACATCGCCTGGCCAGTGAAAGTGGTCACACTCACCGATCTCATTNTATGACTCGTTTGCATAAAACATACAACTCTAAGTATAAACACATTGATTTCTTTAATGTGAGTAAGAGTACACTGAAGAAGGAAATGAGACATATTATTTTACAAGTTAATGCGCCGGGTTCCTAGAAATCCTAATATACCTATCTATGTGTTCTGACCACACGGTGCATCTTATACCTACCTAACTCAGTGATCACGTTATTGTGGGATATAAATATATATAACTAGGGACATTTAAGGTCTGCCTAATTAATATTTAATTGTTTTGATGTCTTAAGGGTTGTAATAATTTACCCAAATTTACTTATATTTAAATTTAATTACACTAAGATTGTATAACCTGAGCGCTGCATGTTCAATCATGATTATTATTTTTAGGCATGGTTGAGGATGCAGCGCTTATTATTGGTACTCATTACCTGATAAAATGTAATAATGTACGAACTAATTTAAACAGCTAGGAAACTCTTTAATTGGCTTAGATTTAATNAAAAAAAATAAAACCGACTCCAAAAAACCTACATTAAAAAGTAGAAAAATAATTACTAATAACCTACTTATTTATTAGGACGAATTAATATTTATGTAAGTATACCATGATTGATACTTTTGGAGTCGGTGCAGGCAAACTTTACATGTTTCATAATCTTGGCACCGACTCCAGAAGTATCAATCATGGTATACCTACATAAATATTAATTCGTCCTAATAAATAAGTAGGTTATTAGTAATTATTTTTCTACTTTTTAATGTAGGTTTTTTGGAGTCGGATTTATTTTTTTTAAATAAAATTTTAGCCTTTGAAGAATTGGAGAAACATGAGAAAGGTGTCAACGAAATA